CGTGTGTTCCCCATGCGTCCCCTATGTGTGACCGGGCGTTTAGGATTGTTTTTCCATAAATATTTTACCATGAGACATAAGTAAAGCATGGAAAGTTGGTAACACATTCAAGTAATACTGCAATAATTAGGTGTCATTACAACTGTTCTATCAGACATGACTATTAGTAATGACTATTACCTGAAAAACAATCTTCTGGATCCGGATTTGAATCAAGTAAATAGTTGGAAGTTCTTGTGCACAGACACTTTTATTTCATATCAATCAGTTACGTTGATATTTCTCAAAAATATTTGATTTCTTGCAATACTTTTTTTCGGTACTAATAACATATTTTTCTTCCTTATCGTGACCTGAAATGGCCCAGATTAGATTGCAATCAAAACGGAAGCTAAACTTACACAAACTTAGATGCTGAGGGTCTTAACTAACAGACAACATTTCATTTAAGATTGTGTCTCAGGGCTGGTGCCTTTTTAGTTTTTATGGCCCATGGAAGAATAATGCTAATACGTGGGCATTGCCATAATTATACAGTATGAACAGTGTGTTTTCCACAAAAAATGCGCTTTTTGGAAAAAGCGTATCTGAATGACACGTATACCCCCTGGCAGGGGCGGCGATTTCTTTTCATGATCGGAGGGGGGGGGGGGGGGCGAAATGCGATTGATGAGCGAGCACTGGCGTGACGAGCAAAAAACTTTTTTTTTTTTGGGGGGGGGGGGGACAGAAAAAAAATCCGCATCACAACCACTCTTACATGTTACGCAGGCCCTGGGGACGTTTTTAAAAGTGGGGGGGGGGGGGGGGGCTAAAGTATTTACGATCAAGTAGATCAAAGAAAAGTGGAGCGTAAATTGGCATGGGGTTCAGGGACAAACCTCCGGGGGTGTCAAGGGGCGGAGCCTCATGAAGCTCAGTGGTTTTAGGCATTTAATTACGTTCAGATGAGCATATTTTGTTACCTTATTTGTGACACTGGCATGCAAGTTACCTATTGGAGTGGTGTGCAGGGGGTGGAGCCCCCAGAAGCTCAGGGGTTTTAGGCATTAGACTACGGTCAGATGAGCAACCAGGGGTCCGCCTTAAGGCCCTTGGTGGGGTCAAGGTGGCACAGCTTCCGGAAGTTCAGAAAAATTTCAACAACATTTGTAAATCACTGGTATCGAATTAGAAATAAACCACGTTTGACTTTCATTTGGGGGAAACTGCCCCAAAAGCTACCCCCAATCAGTACGCAAGTGCGAGGGAGCATAGTGAATGAGAGGGATGAGGGTGACGGAAGTGACTACCCCCCTCACAGGTTTTTGAAGTTTCTTGTATTAAAAAATTACATTAGCAAAACTTAAGTATAAAAACAAGCAATATGCTTTTTTCACACTTCAAGTTTCTCGGTATTTACTTGTACATTTTGAAGGATACTATGCGAGGGAGCGAAGTTCCCGAGTGAGAAGTTTTTTGCAATGTTATTTGCACTCTTGGGCCCTCCAGTAGTCTTTAGTCAGTATTTGCTATACATTTTTGTTTGCACTTTTTCAAATTTTGAGGAGGGGGGAGGACGATCCCACCTAAAAAAATTGAGGGGGGACGTGTCCCCCCCGTCCCCCCGGGATCGCCTCCCCTGCACCCTGGACATCAACCCCCCGGATAACCACCCCAGTCAACTACCCCCTAGGACAACTACCCCCTGAGAAAACTACCCCCAAGGGCAACCACCCTGTAGGACGACTACCCCCTTAGACGAATACCCCCGGACATCCACCCCAGACAACTACCCGCTAGGACAGATGCACCCGGACAACTACCACCCGGACAACTATCCCCGGACAACTTTCATGCTTGCGTCACGAAGATGTTACCATCAGCATAAAGCATAGATATTTTTCTTTACAATGGTATACAAATTATTATATTTTACGCTGTACCAGAGTCAGAAACCAAGAAAAATCACGCGAATGTTCATGAATAATTATTAGAAGTAGTCGACTTTGCCGATGTGATAATAGAGCGTTCTGATTGGTATAATACGTCAATATGTCACATATGTTTTGCTTTGGGTTTATAAACATTTTGAAGTCAACACTATGGTAAGGATACCTTTTAAACTCTCTCTTCTGTTTTGTAAAAACGTTTTTTCCTATATCATTTTTTTTTCTCGTATATTTTCATGACACATGGTTCAAGAGTTGTCAGGTATTCGACACTAGGCAGACAACACCAACTTCTATACAAATATCTTTCTCTGTTTATTCTTCCGACCAATCATTTCATTTCTGACAGATTTTAGAGGTTATTTATACTGAAAAATTGAATTGTACAATTCGCTTTAAGACTACCTTTTAGCTCATCTTTGTATGAATGATTAAATTCTTCAAATTCTACTTTAAAAAAGGCCTACAATTCGAAGGTGGACCACTTTTAAACGTGTTTTTGGCCAAAATGCTTATAGCTACCAACAACTTGTCGTAGGGTTGGAAGGCTTAGATTGGAATTCTATGTAATTTCACTTTCCAACCATATAAGACTCTTTTTGATTGATCAATGTTACCCTCCGCGTCTCCAAGATGTAAGACCATCACAACTTCACCGAGCGAAAGTTTTTGGTGAGATGATTCAGTTTGAGAACTCTGCCGCCTATACAGTAGTCTCTGTCACGGTCCACGCACTTATTAAATACAATGTACAGTGGCGGAACGATACCGGCTGAACAGCGATACGGGATATGTCACAATGAACATGACGGACAAAGAAAGAGGACAACATATACAGTTCCTCAGGTAGATAAAGGAACTCTCCTTTACTGCTATTATTTAAAAGTGAGTAAACAGGTGAATATGCATGTGACACCTGTTCTACACATTTTACATAATAGCAGTGAAGGGATGTTCCTTTGTCTACCTGAGGAACTGTATATTTTGTCCTCTTTCTTTGTCTGTCATATTCATAGTGTGTAATCTATTGTGTGCACAGAGCATGACTGATGCATTTTCTTCAATTCCAATAGGGTTCATTTAGCTCCAAACGTTTTGATAAGTATGTTCCACCGCCTTAATCACAGAAAATAATATCGAGGGTACATATTAGTGATTTTATTTTTAAATTTGTATCCTAACTTTTCAACTACAAATCATGTAGGAATCTGTTGCTGAGATCACTCGTTCTTTCTCAACTCTTGAGCTCATCGCGAAGAATCCATCAATGATGTCCAAGATTCAACTTCCTGACTCTGACTTCGAGCTGAGAGAACCTGAAAAGACACGACGTCGAAGGCAAGTCGACTCGCCATCGACTCTCCCAACATCGGTCCCACCATCTGGTGCCGAGCAGCCAAGCCTGGGACAGAACCCATTCGGACCATACTCATGGCCTATGTATTCTGGTATGATGACCAGGTCACAGTTTCTTAAAATTTATTATCAATAACAATTGCTAAATTTGTCTGACAAATTTCAGTATAGCTTAAAATATTTTTTTGTAACTAGTTATTGATAACAAGTCTTTTGAATGAGAGACCAGAAGTTTCTTGATTTCTCTATTGCCCATCGCACACGAAGGCTCACCTATGAACAAAATTAGTTCGTGCGCCTGGAAATCAAGCGTTTCTGTTGCATTTACCTTTTGAGTGATGCTACTCTCACCAGGCAAGTAAATAGGAAGTCAACTCCGCAAGTCGCTTGCGTATATAGTCCTATATACAATTATTCATCATCCAATAATGTACCGTCTGCAATGGGCATTGGACGCCTTGCAGGCGTTGAGGCGCCTGAAAACCAGCATGTAACAATCAAGAAATTCAGATTTCCAAAATCAGATCGGAAACCACTGTAATAGACAGGGTAGTACTGGTAAACTGTACGTCATGAAAGTAGAAACATCAATGAAGCTAACAGATGCGTTAGCTAGAAGAAAAGAGAAAAATAAGAGAGCCCTTAATGCCAAAACTAACTTCCAGAGCCGTAAGTAATATTGGTTTGCCACGTTAGTCCATTTAAAGTCCGAACATAGGAGATATCAATGTTCGAAACTAAAAGATCTATGATTCAACCAGAAACAAATTTAATAAGAAAAGATCAATGGAACGTACGACATCGGCCATGATCATCCAGATTGAGAATAACCTTCAGACAGAGCTATTATGCTTGAAATATAATGTTATGCAGGCAGGAATGTTTAAGCCTCGCAGATCATTAAACTTGATATGAAAAGAAATATGTTGTTCTTCTTTAGGTCAATGTTTCTTGTGTCCTGCTGGTGTTCCTGGAGAAAAAGGTTGTCAAGGCCCACAAGGGGTTGCCGGTAGGGACGGGAGAGACGGACGGGATGCACCGACAGGTCCACAAGGTAGGTCTAAAACAACATAAAAATCACACGATATGGCACGTCACGCAGAGGTTGTAGAACATTCATAATTGTGACATTGTAATTATTCATACCTGAAAATGCATGTCTAGCGAAATAAAAATTCAAGTTATTTGAAAACACTTCGGATGTTATAACTCCAGTGTTGATTTGGCAATTTACACAATAAGTGATACTACAGGCCTATATTAAAAAATACAATATGGAGACGGATAGTTGTGGGTCACTCGAGGTTGCTTTGTTTTCATATGCTTATGTAATAACAGCCGCTGCTTAAAAAAGCATACGTGCAGTTAGTCATTGATGTGGTGAGAACATAAGCCGGACAAATTACACAAAAATATGTTTGTAACTTTTTAGGCTTCATTGAATTTACAACGTTTGATACTATCCGTTATCAAATAAATTCTGTCTGTGGACTCCGATGTATACAATTCCTAACTTGTTAACATTTTAGCTGAGGAAACACCCATTTCACACAACGGCTAAACAAATTGAACTGAATCCACTTTTTATAAACTCGATTGAATTTACCACGAATGATGGCTTTCCATATTCCACGAATATAGATGCCAAACGTCTGGAATACAGTTGACTTTTGTCTTTATGGATTCCGATAAAACTTCTGAATGTTTCACATTTTAGCTCAAGAAACCCCCACTCCACCCAGCGACGGTGTCATCTATACTCGCTGGGGTAACGATGTATGTCCTGAAGATGCAGAACTCATCTATTCAGGTTGGTATAGATGAGTAATATTAAAAAAGGGGGAAAATCTGAACATGATTTTGACATGATTGCAAGGATTTCTGTAAATCGACCACAGGCAATTTTAATAGCCTTGTCCGTCTGTCATATTGAAATGTGCGAATACTTTGACGTATTTTAAATATGGTAGGGAATGAAATATCTGCGAGTTAATTTTTTGAGAGTCTTTGCTAACTTGTTCCAATGTTAGTGTAACCTATTATCAATCTGATGTTGTGCGCAAAAATTCTTCATCACCACAAACGAAACACATGCCTTCAATAGCGTCACTGGCCGAAACTTAAGTGCATAAGAATGGGTCAGGGTTACGTGAATGCACAAACGTATGCCAAGTTTCTTTGAGTTATTGTGATTCTACCCTTATTTATACAGTATAAGCACGATTAAAAAATTTATTAAACTTAAGGTCATGCTGTACAAATGAGATCATAACATTCACTGATATTAAGGTAGTAATGATAGCTACAATTTAATTGCGCAAATATCAATCCTATGGGATTATCTAGGCGCTTACAAGTAATATAAAAATTAAAATGACATTAGCCCAGCTGCCCTAAAACAGTTAAGGCATTCAATAATTAATATTTACCAGATTCACACTTTCTACTTCAGGGTGGCAGTGTGGAAAATGTAGATACATTTTTGCCAACGCACATTAAATGCGGAACTCGAACCGCGAACCATGTGATAAACATTCCGGTGACGTACCGCTAGACCACGACATCCTTTTGCAAACTGTTTGGCAAATGAGCTATGTAATTCCATTACCAACCATGAGGATTGACCCAAGTGCTAAATTGAGATGCCGTCATTGGCTGTTGAGGTGTCGTAGAGGCAGTAGATCATATGGTTCGTGGTTCGAGTCCCACACCCCTACGAATGTCTTTTGCCAAGATATGTATCTACATTTGCCACTCTCCACCCAGGTTTAAATTCGTACCAGGAAGAAAATTATTTATCTAACGTTCTCCAGAGTTGCCTTCAGTGGCTGTCATTAGTCCTACATCATTCTTAATTTAGATTCCGATGAATTTGAACTTAAAGAGAAGGTTGAGTTCTGAAAAGAGGTGACAAATAATTTGTAAGCGTTATCATTGTTATTATGCAAGTGTGGAAGAACATCAGATAAATCATGTTCCCTGAAAAGCATGGCTCTTCAAATACCTTCATATTTTAAATATGGCATGTAACATCGTAAAAATCGGGACGGATTTTTACGCCACGTGTTCGTGTTGTCTCATATACATCTGTCTGTGTACAGAGCTTGTCACTTTACCAGGACTTGGCCAAATATCTTACCATTTTGATGATTCAAGAACCTTGCAATACACACGATTATATGCTAGATGGTCAACCTTTTCTGATCGATTCCACACGGTTTCTATCACAATGCAATCGCATGACCAGAACTCAACTTCATCTTTAAGTAGGTTCTTTGTTTGCGTAACATTGATTTGTGATTTATTCAGGTACTGTTGGAGGTGCACGCTGGACCCATACTGGTAGCGGCTCAAATTATCTCTGCATGCCAGACGAGCCTATTTATGACGAAGTAGAAACTTCCTCACATGATCACCGAGCCCTAATATACTCCTCTGAACAGTGGCGTACCTGGCATAGCTCGTCAGGGGGGGCAAGCGATTTGGACGAGCAAGGGGGGGGGGGGGGATGATGTGTGGCTGTGGAAAACTGGAAATGGGTGAAGGGGTAATAGGGGGCGTCCCAATAACACAGTAGAGATTTTGTTGATATTAGTATTTGCAATCGGGTGTTTCTATATCTTTGGTCTATTTTGATTTAAAAGAAGGAATTATCTTTTTTTTTAAATGTTAAATGTATTGAATTTCGACAAAATCAGTGGTTAACTTATCACTGGTAATGACAATGCTTCTATTAACGTACTTCTATTATTCCTCTTTGAAGAAGCTTTGACATATTATGTTCCCAATTCTGCATATTTGGAAATGTAATCAAGTGTATTTGACAATGAATGGAATTGTATTGATTTGCATTTGTTTCATTTCCACATGCACAATTAAAACTTTAAAAAAATATTCAGAATAAGCATCTATTCAATCATTGAAAATAAATGTAGTAATTAAAAGTAAGAAAAAAATGAAACAGTAAAATGATATATCACTAGATATAAGAGAAATCACTCACTGGGAGGAATGTCAGAAGGTTGAGGAAAATGACATTGGAGAAAGATAGGGTACAGAGAGATAGGGTACATAAGGTAGAAAAGGTGGAAATAAGCAGAGGAATGTTGAAGAATTGTATATCTGAAGAAATGATAACTGGCTGTAGGTCAGACGATACAAGAAAAGCTAGGGAAATTTGAGGATTTTGGCAAGGAGGTTAATAGCAGATCAAAACAAACAAACAGAAAGCACTCTGAAACTTGATTACAGGATACTTGTTAAATGAACAAAGCAGTTTCAGCAGACATCATCAATAAAATTGTATACTATACAATTTATTAATCTTTTGAAACTCATCTTCAACCAGTCTTCAAAAGTAGTATATTGTTTCAATAAGTTGTCCTTAGAAATCCAATGTTTGACCTTTATAAACCAATGCATAGAAATCCAACTAGTTCTTACTAATGGTAAGTGGAAGAGGTTTGAGGTTTCTGGCAAGAAAGTTAATAAATAGGTCAAATGAATAGTAAGCACTCGTAGCTATAATAAAACACATATATGATTACAAGCAACTAATTACTGAAATGAACATAGCAATTTCAGCACACAGCATCAATAAAATTGTATACTATACAATTCATAAATCTTTTGAAACTCATCTTCAAGCAGTCTTCAAAAGTAGTATATTGTTTCAATAAGTTGTCCTTAGAAATCCAATGTTTGACCTTTATAAACCAATGAATAGAAATCCAACTAGTTCTTACTAATGGTAAGTGGAAGAGGTTTGAGGTTTCTGGCAAGAAAGTTAATAAATAGGTCAAATGAATAGTAAGCACTCGTAGCTATAATAAAACACATATATGATTACAAGCAACTAATTACTGAAATGAACAAAGCAGTTTCAGCAGACATCATCAATAAAATTGTATACTATACAATTTATTAATCTTTTGAAACTCATCTTCAAGCAGTCTTCAAAAGTTGTAGATTGTTTCAATAAGTTGTCCTTAGAAATCCAATGTTTGACCTTTATCAACCAATGAATAGAAATCCAACTAGTTCTTACTAATGGTAAGTGGAAGAGGTTTGAGGTTTCTGGCAAGAAAGTTAATAAATAGGTCAAATGAATAGTAAGCACTCGTAGCTATAATAAAACACATATATGATTACAAGCAACTAACTACTGAAATGAACATAGCAATTTCAGCACACAGCATCAATAAAATTGTATGCTATACAATTCATAAATCTTTTGAAACTCATCTTCAAGCAGTCTTCAAAAGTAGTATATTGTTTCAATAAGTTGTCCTTAGAAATCCAATGTTTGACCTTTATAAACCAATGAATAGAAATCCAACTAGTTCTTACTAATGGTAAGTGGAAGAGGTTTGAGGTTTCTGGCAAGAAAGTTAATAAATAGGTCAAATGAATAGTAAGCACTCGTAGCTATAATAAAACACATATATGATTACAAGCAACTAACTACTGAAATGAACATAGCAATTTCAGCACACAGCATCAATAAAATTGTATGCTATACAATTCATAAATCTTTTGAAACTCATCTTCAAGCAGTCTTCAAAAGTAGTATATTGTTTCAATAAGTTGTCCTTAGAAATCCAATGTTTGACCTTTATAAACCAATGAATAGAAATCCAACTAGTTCTTACTAATGGTAAGTGGAAGAGGTTTGAGGTTTCTGGCAAGAAAGTTAATAAATAGGTCAAATGAATAGTAAGCACTCGTAGCTATAATAAAACACATATATGATTACAAGCAACTAACTACTGAAATGAACATAGCAATTTCAGCAGACATCATCAATAAAATTGTATACTATACAATTTATTAATCTTTTGAAACTCATCTTCAAGCAGTCTTCAAAAGTAGTATATTGTTTCAATAAGTTGTCCTTAGAAATCCAATGTTTGACCTTTATCAACCAATGAATAGAAATCCAACTAGTTCTTACTAATGGTAAGTGGAAGAGACTTATAAAGGTTGTGTGTCCCTTTAACATGCAACAAATATCTCAAATATCGACCAAGATTATGTATGTTTTATCTGTAAATTCAAAAGAAAGTGGGATAGTAGAGTTTGTAAAAACGACTAAAAACAGTTGTTAATCATTGAGTGTATAGTCTGTGTCTCAGGCTTAAATTTACACTCTGTTTCGAGTGTTGACATTGTAATGGACTTGAGGGTAGTGCTTTAGGGCCCTCAATAACCATTCCAGCTCAAGAAGTGGTTTTTTGCAGCAGCAATAACAAAAACTTACACACTTGGTTGTCATTTCTCAAAATATGCATCCCTACATGGACATGAAATAATGATATGCATCCAGTAAATAAGTTTCTGGTACAACAGAAAAATAATTAGAACAAATCTAAATTTAACAGTCATAAAAATCCACTTACAGTACACAAGTGTCCAAACCCAATTCTTTCACACAGCTTCATGAATTGTAATCGCTTCAACATAACACTCTCTTAAGATATTTCCAATTATTAGGCTTGCAAAAGATTGACACACTGAGGTTGGTTGTCATGTACAATAAAATTTACCTTGTAGTTTGTGACAAAAACTATGGCTAGAGCAAGGGGCAGGTTGTTACCTGTCCAAGTCAATTTCCATAGATATGATATTTGTAAATAAAGAATCTTTCCCTTGTATTACATTAAATACAACAATGATTTTTCATAATCCATGAGGAGTAAAAATGGGAAAGTGAGGTGATTTTCTCATCCACTAACTCTTGCATAGAGCCAATTTTATGTTTGACACCGTTTCCAACTTTGCATGACTTAAAATGCTGTCACTTTCTTATGTCTTATCTGATTTTGATGTTGTTTTCATTGTTTTGTTTAATTCTACTCTATTTATTAAAGTCAAATTAATATCGGGTGGAATTCCCCTATAATATAAAAGAGATCAAAATTTAAAAAAAAGTCGAAGCAGAGACTGTCCGGTGGAAATGAGAGGCTATAATACAATCTAAAATAATGATTTATGGGTATATGTTATTCCTTGTATATTGCACCTCCACTCAGCAGCATTTTGTACTTTGAATTGAATTGTTGTGAACTGAAAGAAAATGAAAAATCGCAACTAATTTTGAAAAAATAGTATCTTTCCACACAAATTGAGCCAAATATGTGCATGATTGGGTGAAAAACTCCTGCACTGTTATGGCCAGAATATACATGGAATTTCAACACATTCATACTGTTCTACCCTAAATAAAGTCTATGCGTCTCCGGTGCATCCTAGCAAAGTGATCAATTACATCTGAATAGTCTACACTACAGGCAATTTCTTTCTCTATGCTAATAATTGCCAAACCTGACAACCTTTCTTCCTTCATTGTAGAACGCAGATATGATTTGATTATTTTCACTCTGCTAAAAGATCGCTCTGCAGTAGCTGAGGAAATGGGCAATGTAGCAATAATTCTGTACAGTTTGGTTAAATTTGGATATGCACTCTCAAGGGAATTCTTGATTAGGAACTTCAACAATCCATTAATTGTTTTCACATAGATATCATTGTTGTCAAACACGTCAGTGTTCTGAACCAGAGGGCGGAAAGTCCTGTATTCAGCCATGAGTTGTTCCGTGTCGACTACATCTTTGTACTTCTCAGCCAGCTTCTTGACTCTTCTTTCGGCATTGAGGTCATTGAAATGTTCTGGCATTAACGCAGAAAAATCTCTGACCGTTTCCATGAAATCTGAAAACCGGTCTTTGAATTGCTGCAAAACAGAGTCATATACCTTGTAAAAGACTTCTACTCGAAATCTGGAAACAGGATCATTAATCGGCTGATCTTCAGCTTGTTCCCCTGAAAGAACCTTCCGTTTTCTTTGTCGTACAGTAGTTAGATCTGGATCAATTTCTTGTTTCTCTGCTTCTACTCTTGCTTTACGGTACAATTCCTCAAAGTGTTCCTCAGTCCGATTTTTTCCAATTGCTTCTGATGTTGCCGTGATAACACCTCCAGCACTGATCAAGTCAATTTTTGAAGATTGGAGGTATTTTGACAGGGAATCCGTAGTTGAAAGCAGCTCCTCCCACATATTCATCAGAAGAAGAAAATCTACTTTGCTAAGAGCATTGATGAGACCCCTTGCTTCTGCAGCCTCCGTGGGTTTGCCCTCACTTTCTTCGATGTCTTCTAATGTGTCAAGAATGGCTGGATATGTTGCCTTGACAGCACGAACAGACTCAATTCTGCAAGACCAGCGTGTGTCAACTAGTCGTTTTAACTGGATGTCTTGCACCTCCTTTGACAATTTTCTTTTGGCTTCCTTGAATTTCTCGAGACGAGGATGGCTATTAGTCAGAAACACATACAGTTTTTCAAGGATTCCAAAGAAATCCTTGGCAACTGGAGAGACACATGCAGCATTACTTATCACAAGATTGAGGTTATGTGCACAACAGTGCACATAGAGTGCATTGTTACTGACTTCTTTTATTCTTTGCTGAAGGCCAGATAGTGAACCAGACATGTTTGCTGCCCCGTCGTAGGCTTGTCCAACACAATCTTTGAGTGAAATGTTACGCTTCTTTGCAAATTCGTTTATTTGCTCAAACAGAACGGATGATTTTGTAGAAGGTAGTTCTTGAAAGCAAATGAATCTCTCAACAACATCTCCGTCAGAAGTAACGTAACGAAGGGTTACAGAAAGTAAGTCCGTGTGAGATATGTCAATAGCAGAATCTGCTATGATGGTAAAGCATCCCGCCTCATGTACTTCCTCCATTATGACACTTTCTACTGAATTCCGCAGGCATTGTATGAGCTCATTCTGTATTCGTGGACTGAGGTACATTGAATGACTTCTTTGCTCAGATAAATGAGCAGCTAATACACTGTCATATTTGCTGATTAATCGCACAAGTTCTAAAAAGTTGCCATCGTTGCGTTCTGTTTCAGCAGATCTCATATTCTCACGATGTCCCCGGAAAGCTAAATTCTGTTTGGCCAAAAATAGTGTAACATCAACTAGCCTAGAAAGTACTTTCCGATTTTTCTGCACCTGACATTCATGTGCCCTCACTTGCTCAGCATCAACTGCTTTGCCTTTGTCAAGTCTCAGTCGGGTAAGTGACAGCTGACCCTCTGCTTCCATGTGAAGTGAAGATTGTTCATGCTGTTCAATTCGTAGAGTTGCCTTTTTCCAATTCGAAAAGCCGGATCCACTTACTTTGCTCCATGTTGGGTCATAATTTTTCTTGTGTCTGTCTGCAAAGAGCCAACATGATAAACAGAACAAGGAGTCTCTCGAGGGAGAATATATGAGCCACTTTCGAGGGACTTTCTTCTTTTCATCCTTTAAGTGTCTAAAGTACCACTCTCGGCGAAAGCCTCTACCATGTTTCCGAGGAAAAGAAAATTCGTCATTGGCATCAAAGTTAGGCTGGCAAGGTCCCATTTCTAGAATCTGTCTAACTACGTTGGGTGTTATGCTTACTCCTGAAAAATGTTTTGGATCGTTTGGAAAGCGATTGAAAGCATTGTTGTCCGATGTAGGTACAGGAACCTGTCCTACATTAATTGTATCCCTGACATGAGATTCCTCATTGTTTGACCTTTCTTCATGAGATACAGCATTATCATCTTCAGCTTCATCGTCATCGTCATCCAGTGAAACACATGGAGTATCAGGACTACCAGGCTTATATTCTGCAGTTTAAAAAAGAGGTGGAATTTACAATAAATATTTACACAGTATTTCTATTTCCTTAGGGATACTGCCCCCCCCCCCCGTTTTCTACTGTTTCTTTCTCTCCTGTCCTCCCAAAGTTGCCCTAGTATAACCCCCCCCCCCCCTCCCCTCCCCAATCTCTGTCTGAGCAACTAAACATATGGCAATTTTGAGTGGAATATCTCACTCAATTAATCAAAACACTTGCTAGATTTATTTTGATTTGTTTCCCAATTTAATGCATATTGCACTTAGCCATTAATAGATGAATATTAAGTAATGAAAGAACTTATTTTGTAATCAAATTAGGATAAATGGCTGAATATATAAAAGAGGAAATATAAATATATAAAAGAAAGAAAACAATGTATATATATTTATACATAATATATATTTATACATAATATATACAACTATCAGGACAGAAAATAAGATTTTCAATTTTGTTCACCTTCATGATCTGGTTGAGTAGATACAGCATTATCATCTTCAGCTTCATCGTCATCGTCATCCAGTGAAACACATGGAGTATCAGGACTACCAGGCTTATATTCTGCAGTTTAAAAAAGAGGTGGAATTTACAATGAATAATTACACAGTATTTCTATTTCTTTAGGGATACTGCCCCCCCCCGTTTTCTAGTGTTTCTTTCTCTCTCCCTTTCTCTCCTGTCATCCCAAAGTTGCCCTAGTAACCCCCCCCCCTCCTCCTCAATCTTTGTCTGAGCAACTAAACATATGGCAATTTTGAGTGGAATATCTCACTCAATTAATCAAAACACTTGCTAGATTTATTTTAATTTGTTTCCCAATTTAATGCATATTGCACTTAGCCATTAATAGATGAATATAAAGTAATGAAAGAACTTATTTTGTAATTAAATTAGGATAAATGGCTGAATATATAAAAGAGGAAATATAAATATATAAAAGAAAGAAAACAATGTATATATATTTATACATAATATATATTTATACATAATATATACAACTATCAGGACAGAAAATAAGATTTTCAATTCTGTTCACCTTCATGATCTGGTTGAGTAGATACAGCATTATCATCTTCTTCAGCATTGGGCCTTTCACTTGTACCCTCGTCATTGTCAAGTGAAACATGAGGAGCATCTGGTTTGCATCCTAAAAATAAAATTGAAAAAAAAATGTAAATAAAAGGAAGTCAGTTATGCCATTTCTGTTATTTTTATTATTTCAATACATTATCGCAATGATTAGGACCTTGCTTAGATCTTTTCAACCTTCTGCCAGTCCTCTTTCTACCCTTTGGTGCAATTTGATTTACTGTACCTTGGTAATAAATTGGGAACATTGGTTCGAGCATTTACACTGAACTGAATGAAATAAAAACAAAAAGCAAGAAAGGTTTGATCGCACCATAACTGTTCAACGTTTTTGTTGGGCATGCAGGGGTTTACTTGTACATGTTTCTATGGGATTCCGCGGTTGATATATATATATATTTTTTTGAAAGATGAAAAGTCGTATTTTCAAGAGGCGATATCGTATTATCGTACTTCACTTTTTTTTATTGTACTAAATACGATAAAATTGTACTTGTTTAGTGGTTGACATCTCTGCTGATTGACCATGACATACCTTGGTTTGACCCTCTTCGTTGGCTGAGGAACAAATCCATTAAACTACTTTGGTGAAATTTCTTTTTAGATGGATGATTTTCACTCGGGTTTCGGGCACTAGATGAACTTGGCGTTTCTGTTGTTTCTGATGTAGTATTCAAGGTTGAACTTGCTTCAACTGGTTCTGGGGGGGAGGGGGTGGGAGAGAGGAGGTTAGACATTGTAGGAAATGGATGAGCTGGGTAGATACATATTGGACAATATTTGGGAATAACAATATATACTTTTCTTATTTTCAAAAATATGAGTGTGCTATGAAAATACTATAAAGAAGCTCCATTATGATGCAGATCATACAGTCAAAACAAGAACATTCACATAATGAATAAATGAACTACCCTGGCTAAATAAATCTTCTTTTTGTATTATTATTATCATTATCATTATAATTTGTATTGATATATTAAAGTCACTGTTGTTATTATCATTCTTCTTCTTTTTAGTATAATTTTTTAATATCAGTAGTAGTATGAGCTTTATAAGAATGGTTTATTATTATTTTTATTATTGTTATTGTCATCATAAGCTATGTGTACAAACACTTAATAAATCTTCTGCAACTTTACTTTCTGATAGAAGAAAAATGCCAATTTATATTCAAGAACCTTTGGCCTTCCATTTTATCAATAGGCCAGTACATGCATGAAATCAATTCTGCATCAATATCATCTTAAACAATCAAGGGATTTTTTTGTTTTGTTTTTGTTTTTGAAGACACAACCAAATTTATATCTAAGCTGTGAATATGAGAACAGTTTCTGTCCTAGACATGCTTAGGAGAGAGCAGAGAATGCTATCCTCTGAAAGTGGTATGCTAAATCTCATAAGGTATAATTAAGGGTTAAAGTCATATTGGATTATTGATAGTTCTTACCTAGGCTTACATAGTGTTGTTCAAACACATGTCCAAAATACAACGTCATCAGTTCAGCATTTGCCTCTTCTCCTGTTGCCTTGTACTTGTGCATTATAAACCCTGCTTCGGTGCTTCCTTCTGCGCTTGTTATTACATTGATGTTCACTCTATACTTGTTGGCACATGCAATGATTTCAGGTTCTCCTCCCCACGTCCCATCCTTCCTCATTTCCTGAATATAATCAGGAGTCACTATGTGTGCCATCACTGCCATGTCTTTAGAAGCCTAAGTGAAACATACACAAACGAGCAAAACATATGATACAGATATTTTTGTGGATATTTTAATTTGCCTGCAAAAAGGTATACAAAACCATTCACTGAACTTGTCCTGGACAAACTATCTGTTGTGTATTATTCTACATTTTAACACATTTACATGTTTTTCGTTTTGTGTTGTTTTATTTTTGTTTTTCAGTTTTGAAAGAAAAATATGAAAAGAATGTACAAACCTTATTTGAAATTGTAAAAATTAAAAATAAAATGCTTATTTCTGACTTCTGAGTCACATTTCCATCACCATCAACAAATAGAACTCTTGAATTACAATGGTATTTACTTTCTGGATACTTTATTATTAATATAATTGGGTTGTAAATTCATTATTCCACCTTTACTTGATCACATACATGTACTTGAATAAAAAATTAAAAAAACAGAAGCTAATTGAAGATAAATTTATATTAAACTCACACTGTTTTCCATGTGTTCACATATCTCCTCTCTAAGTTCTTTTTGGTTTGCTTGACATTTGATGCCAACCCTTTGTAACTGGTCTAAGAGCACATGGAAGAAGCAATTCCCATCACCAGGAACTTCTCGCCTTATCCGTAAACCACATTTGGCTGCATTTGATATGAGCCGACCATGATGACTGCCTGTAATATTGGATTAAAGATTTGAAAAAATATTACATATTTGCATTGGTTCTATTTACAGAAATTCAAAATAATGCATGCCTTTATCAGTGATGGAGTCGAGGCCAGCAGATTTGAGTCACTATGTGACTCACAAGGCATCAGGATAAAAAAAAAGTCTTTTACAGACTTTGTACATGTGACACAGACCAAGACCTAAACCAGTTTTGACTCCATCCATGCATGGCCTCTATCTTTAACCAGAAAACGTTTAACTGAGATGCTCAACACTTTTGTGTCACACATACACACACTCACCCACATACAGCATATTATTACTGTAATTTAAAGTAATAGTAGGCCTATTCATGTTTCAACTTAGAAGTTAGATGTGCAAGGAAATAAAAATCTTACCTCCTGACACCCTCAATTTGCAACGTTTTGCACTCGATAAGTTGCAGTCAAAATCACGATGTTTTGATTTCAAGGTGGCCAAGCCCTGTATAAAAAAAAAACAATTAATGGATTTCACTATTCTTCCTTTCATGATCTGAAATCAAACTGAAAAGTTGTCCTTATCTTATGATTTTGTTAGCAGAGTCACCTTACTATTTAAAGGTACTATGTCCAATTTGCAGGCCCACAAAATGAAAAGGTTAAATTCCAAGTTTCCAACGGCATTTGAAAGACGATGCTAATTTAGAACTTCCCTAAAAAAAAAGTGGGCTTGAAAAAGTCTTTAAGTGGGAAAATAACGACTATTAGTTGTCGAATCTTAGAGGCTGAAAAAGTAGAAGGGCTGGCATTCATCCACATGATTTCGGATATAACCATGTCCTAATTAGGTCTTGTGTCACCCAGTCTTTGTTAAACCAGAACATTACATTAATGTATGCAAGCTAGACTAAAATGATTAGAGTCTACTGTCACAAATATCAGCATCTGCATGACCTAGCTCGGGCAACGCCTCTACCCGTACCCGTACCCGCCCGGGGCCCCGAGATGCTCCTAAGGAGGTCCCGTCCCATCAAAGAGTTAAGCCTACATCACCCGACAGCCGACATACTCAGCTGTACGTTTTCATTAGGTTTATGTTATCTACAAAATCTTGATTAAAAATACCCTGATATTAAAAAATGAATGATCATGCTTACCTTTTTGACTTTCTTTGGTGCCATTTCAGATCTACTTAAGATCGTTGGACAAATCAGCATGCCATGGCGCTGGCTCGTGGTGGCGCTATAATGCGCTAGAATACACGTGGCAGGCCAGCGGCCGGCCTACGAACCCTAGCGCGCCGCGCCTGACCGGGGGAGGGGCGGCGCAGCCTAGCCTAGGCCCCGTGCTCATAACATTCATAGGCGTCTGTAAGCAGGTCGATGTACTAGCAATCGACGATCTCGTGCTGGCGTACTACGTATGAAGCCTGAAGTATATAGTTTATGCAAAATGATGCAACCCCTCCCCCCCCCCCCTCCCCTCCGTCAATTTGGTGTTTGCTTGTGATAGACTTAGTGATTACCGTTTTTATATGTATTTTCATTTTTTTGCCTGTCAATCAGACCTTTCAGCCATGGTGATGATGACTTTGTGTTGGTTTTTGTTGCTTGTCACTCGTCAGGGGGGGCAGACTGCCCCCCCTGCCCCCCCCGTAGGTACGCCACTGCCTCTGAATACCAAGTCAGTGCTGGTCCTTCACGCATGCAACCAATGCATGACCACACTGCGACCTGTGCAGTCTGCAGAGCGCCTTCTGGCCGCACCAGCAAACTTATGATACCTGCCCGCAACGTCTGTCCTTCTCAAGAGTGGCGTTTAGAGTACGCTGGTTATCTTATGGCAGAGTACCACGGATACCAGAGAACGGAATTTGTGTGTGTGGACCGAGAGATGGTTCCTAAAGCGGGGACCGGGGGGAATCAAAATGGTGTGATGTTTTACTTCACAGAAGTCCGGTGTGTGCCGGGTGATGGTTTGGATTGTGGAGCCTATATCGATGCTAACGAAATTACGTGCGCCGTCTGCACTATCTGAAGTCCTACTAATAAATACTTTGAATTTCATTTCGTAAAGGTTGACAAAGTTGTTAGTTCTTGTCATGCTTTTAGAACTTCTCATTTTCATAGACACGACAGTGATAAAGAGTCGGACAAAATTAGGCCTGGTTTGTTAAAGGGATAGTTGAGTTCTGTTGCAGAGGGCGCTACACAAACTATTTTTTTGTGAGATAATGAAAAACTGAGTGTCAAATTTGAAAGAACATACAATTTAAATGACAAAAATTATCTTTATTTGATCATAATCGGTTTAGAGACGGCTGAAATATCAATAAATATAAACATTTCTAATATTTGTGTCTCACCAAAAATATTATATAATTGGAACCAGTTGAAAAAACAAGATAGCGCCTTATACGTTTTATTCCAGCCAATGCCGATGTTGGCTTTTTGTCGGCTTTTTTGTGTACGTTATAATACGCACCACCAGCCGGCACGTGTATTTTTATTATTAATTAATTAATTAATTAACGGTCACCAACTCACCATATCATTTTAACCCTAAAAAGGCCGGGCTATTTGAGGTCTTACTATGGCCGGGGGGGGGGGGGGGGGGGGAGCATAATGGCCCCCCTAAAGATCTCGGCCGTGAAACGGCCGATCTCCGCGAAAATTTGCACGCATGTCAAGTGAAGTGTATAGAATAATATGGTAATTTCAATTTTTTGAAAAAAATCACTCATTTGCATATTTTTGGTAATTTATGCAAATAAGGTCATAAAATCACATTTTTACCCATAAATCATATATTATTCATATTTAAGCATTCTTTTTCACCACATATATTCATTAGACCATTCGAAATAATAATATTACAACAAATTTTGGAAGAGCCAGCTTATTCCTTATGTTATCTATTGTTTTGATAATTTCTTATGTATTTCATAGTTTTTTTAACTCATGTATTTTGTTGTTTTTGTTGTTTTATTTCATTTCTTACTACAATTCAACTAATTTGACCCCAAAACAACCACCTAAGCTTTAAACAAGACCCAATAACCAATGTTTGATCAATATTTAGGAAAAATTACATTTCCATATGTGCGAGCGGCGCACAGTGGGCCAGAATCGCCTCAAAGTGTGCCAACATTCAAAATTGGCGAATGTGAATTTTTATATTTTTTTCATTCGCTTGGGGAAGAAAACATTCTAATTTTTCCACCCATATTTTAATATTTAGCGAGTTTTAAAAGTGTCATATACCCGTGCGAACATGGGAAAATCTATATTTTGCTCCAAAAATGATAAAAGTGGCAACTTTACAATAGGTGCTGAGAATTTATAAAGGAAAAAGCAATTAACTTGATACTGCGTGCACTTCTTGCCTATTGGTAACCCAATTAGAAACTACAATGACCAAATTTATGGAAGCTTCATTTTGGGAAAAATGAGCATTAAATTTCACAAAACAAAGAAAAAAAAATGCAATTTTTTATAAAAGTAGCATGTTTATTAGGATTCCGGCCGATTCCCGCAGTGATGTTAATCTCAAAATGTCCGCCCAAACCTAAGCTTTCCATGTATGGTATTTCTTTTTGCGAGAATTTGCTACACTGCATGTGCAGGCGCTTTTCCTCCCCACGTCCATCGAT